GTGTAGTAGCAGCAGCAGGTACATACATCAATCCACAGAAACAGTATATTGCTGTGTGACAATATCAACTGTAGCAATAACAGAATTAAAGATAGTAACAATAAAAAATAAACATAGATCAAAGTAAAAATAATAATAATAATTACTGTAATTACCATACACCRTAGTACTGACATATTGACACTGTACGTACACCATGCTGCTGAACACTGGTGTAAACAATGTATCAGATGCATATTAATCACAGCTTAAAATAGCGCAGAATTAATGCACTGTTTACTCCCGACACAAAAACCATACTGCTCGGCTAATTTATGGAATTGCTCAGGCTGTTTTAAAGGCCACCTATTTGTGCTCCTTTCCAGCTTTTTGTCTGTACAAAGAGAGTTCACTTGGGAACATTTGAATAATAAAAACACGTACATTTACTTCATATTGCTCYACATTATCTTTTCAGTTAAATTCCCAAAAYTGAAAACATTAAACTCATAAAAKCTGTCATCTTCTGTTTGTCAAAAACACCATCTTGTAAACAGAGATTAGAGCAGGATGCCACTTTGGAATAAACATTAGMTTGTTATCTGATCATTGTGCCACATTTATGTACACAAGCTGTTTAGAAATACATATAAAAAAAACATCTATTTTCCACTTGGGTGGTTCCACTTTATTTCAAGCTCAGGTCCTCAGAGGCCTGGGAGTTTGAGCTTGTCCTGCCGTGATTAGTGTTGTAGACTGTGTTATCCTTCAGTCCAGCACTGTTGATCAGCCTCTTCCTCAAGCTGCTGGTGGTCCAGGGGCTTATCTTTCCATCTTTCTTTCCAACTAGTTTGGCATTGGTACTGTGGTTAAAGTCATACAACTTTGGTGTAGGAAGATCCAGGGTTCAGGGTTTGAATCCTGGTAACATAATGAGTGAGAGATTTAGAAATTAAGCCACGTTGGCTTGGATGTGGCTAGATTTTGTGGGAGAAATTGGGTGAAATACCAAATATCCACTTGTAGATAAAAACAAGAGTTATAAGGCTGCTAAAATGTAATTCTGCTGCTGCTGAACAACTATCTCCCTTTTTAAAACAATATTTTTAAATTGGTTAAATGAGAATAATACKTCCCATCCTAGTTTTAAGTAAACTTGACTACAAGTTTATGAGGACCTTTTAGACTTGGGTAAGCCCACAGTAAAGTAGTTGATACAAGCCTGAAGCTTAAACTCGCAGGAGATTCATTTTGCACACATTTATTTTGTTGTTTCTTTAACTTATATCAACATCTGACTCTGTAACATTCAGTAAAATTGAAAAAAAAAGCATTGGTCCGATTTAAAAACAAGTATTTTATGTATTTTTTAAATTTATTGTAAAATAGCTTCTAGTTAAATAGAATTGCACACRATGTGAGTTTTAGACTTTTCCTATGATTGCCTCATGCACCCCTACGGGTGACAACGTGCATCAGCGGGATGATGTGTGAGAAATATTTATTAGAAATCTGTCTGAGTATCACTGTGAACTTCCTGTTTACTACATATTATCTGCAATTTATTCAGACTCAGGCTTTATTGAACTATTTTTTGTAATAAAWTTTTAAAGGACATAGAGCATAAGAAAAAGAACGAGCATCCACACGCTTGAATCAGCGGTGAGGAAACAGGGTGAGCGTTRACACAATAAGAGGGGAAAAAGCCCAGTCATGGTTGCCATGGTGATATGGACCT